ATTGGGGAGGTCTGCTTGCTAACAAAAGTAATTGATAACATTTTCTCTTTTGACCAATGGAAGCTTATAATTCAGCCCTATAAATTTCATGCTTGAATGATAAAGTTTTAATTGTTGTTGCTTCTGTCTTTGCAATATTTTTAATAGGACTGTATGATGAACATGCCCGTCATCTGCCTTTTATAACATAAGGGCCAAGAGCCAAAGAACATACTATAGTTCACAATTAGACCCACAGGACCAAACAAGTCCAATGTTTATTAAAAATGCTGACTGTTTTGTCCTAGAGCAAACTCTCTTTGAAAGTAAGAGAAGTGTGGCAGCATTTTTTGATACAGCCCAAGGAAAAATAGGGATTAAACTTCAAAGGAGAAAAGAAAAAGTTAGGATTTATCCTGGGCACAGCTCAAGTCAGCATTTTGTTTGTGTGATTCATAAGCAATTTACTTTGCCCTCAAATTTTAAATTCATTAGTTGCCATAAGGACTGTGCACTGCTTCAAAGTCACCGAAACTGCAATGTGTAATCCAGAAAAAAAATAACATGATGTGGTTTTACCTCCCTATTCTCTGAAACACTTTATGAAACTAAATTGAAGGGCTGCACTACCCTAATTAACATCTTTGTTATTTACAACAATATTGTTAAAATTCATGCAGAACTGGAGGATATTATAGCTGACTCTCTTACAACACACTTTTATACATGTCAAAATAAATCTTAATTTGGTTTTCTTTCTAGCAAGTATAAAGTTGAAGTCACAGCAGATGGCTAACTCAGAAGGTGAAGTAAGACTGCATCTATAGTAATTAATATTTGATTGGTGGATCACCAATAAATCTCAGGAAATTCCAAAAAATAATATAATCCACTATTCTATTGTTAGCCCACCACCAAAGTGGGGGGAAACTGTATTTAGAGATATGCATATATACACCAAAGATCAAGCTCAATTCAAGGGAATATTTCATCTTGAAAAGTTACATTTAAAAAATTCTTGCATTAAATATTTTGCCATTCATGCTTAAAGATCAAGGTAAAATATTAGCTTTAGATCTTGTTATAAGCAGCTCTTTATATACAACACACATAAGACATTGGTATCTATATCTGCGTTTATACTGGGTTTTTTTGTGTGTGTGTTATTTGATTTTAATTAATTTTGTACCATTCTGCTTTATTCAATTTGCATATAATATTCATAAATAAAAGTATTTGGTTTTTGTGAATAAATAAAAATACAGTTTCCTTAAATTGCTCAGAATTCTGTTGTAAACATTTAGCTCTCTGCATAAAATTATTGCTCCCAAAACAATATGACTTTATAAAATAATCACGAATACTAGAAAGGTATACAATAATATATTTTATAAAATTTTTATGCTTCAGCACTACAACTATTCCTTTTTATTAGTTTCTAAACAATGTGTGATAAAAATACTAATTTTAATCCAAAGCACTGAACAAAAGGTAAAAAAAAAAAATATGAGTAACATAATAAAATCCCATTCTCTTCAATAGATACTTTTTCTTTTTCCTTCTTAGTGTTTCAGATTAAATGTGATAAATTGCAAATCACTTCTGATATCAAGTAAAGTTCAAAATAAGTAATACCAATATCTAGACTTTAAAGTTCCTTCAAAAATATTTGCACCAAGGATGTTTTATAAGAGGTAATCATTTGAAATTTTTCAGATCCAGGGGGCACCATTTGGGACTTGTTTATCTATAAGTGATGGCCCCACAGACAACAGCACCGGGATTCCTTACTTTTATATGACTCCAAAGGATAAAACTGTAGCGGATCTGGTGAAAAATTCAGTTGCTTCATTGACATTACCCGAAGCAGAAGGAGATTTTTGCAGGTACGATAATATTGGAAACTTGTACTGCATAATGATAATTATTTATTTGTATATCACTTTTATTATTCATATAAATAATCAAAGGCAGTGAACATATCCAGCACATTTTCCTCCTCTTATTATCCCCACAAAACAACCGTGTGAGGTGGACTAAGAGAGAGTGAGCAGCTCATAGTCATCCAACTGGCTTTCATGGCTAAAGTGGTACCAGAACTCACAGTCTCCTGCTTTCTAACCTGATGCCTTAATCACTAGACAAAAGTGGTTCTTTTTCAGAATTTCAACAGCTATCTCTTTCTAGACAGCAATTCAACACAATTAATATGTTGTTTCTCTTCATTTGCTTTGTGAGTTGCATGCATAATATTTGAAAGTAGATGTTTGAACTCCATCAACTCCAAAGATGTGAAAGAAATAAAATCAGAAAATCCCATTTTAGTTATGTATCTAGAATAGAAAGTCATAGCTATATTTTCCCAAACAGAAGCAAATGGCAATTCAGTAGCTTTAGAAATAACTTTGTTAATTATCTGCAGCCACTTATTCAATTACTGAGTTTAGCAGACTCTGATATTTACTAACACAGAAAACTATATCTTTGCAAAGTACAAAGTTTACTTCTTAAATGAACAACACATATTTATTCTTGAGTTTCTGATATGAAGATATAGGAGATGAATTTGCAAAATTTAAGCAAATTGTACCAAGTAGGGTACAAGAATTGTGATCCAGGCAAAAGAATGATAGTCTAATTCATAGGACTAGTGGGCTCCATTTTGACCCATTTAAACAGCTGACAGTTGCTGAGCTTGAAGTTCAAAATACTGCCTTAGACTGATCTATATTACCAATGATGCACAGTTCTGTAGCTAATATAATAGTACAGAGAGTTCAGAAAGCTGGAAAGACAATTTACCACCTCAGACAGTTGATGTTTGGAGTTGTGCCAAAATACTGTTTAATTTTATTGTATTCTAAGATGGGGGTGCATAACCCCTGGTCCATGACCTTGTACCCATTGGGAACTGGGCCATGCAAGCAGGCAAGCACGCAAAGCTCCATTTGTGTAAACGGCAGGCATGGACACAAAACCATCCCCTCCACCCACCCCCATCAGTCCTCAGACCCTGAAAGTTTGGAGACTACAGCTCTAAGGGATAGGAAAGTCCTATATGATTTGTTTTTATTTTAACAAAATCTGATCTTAATACTGTGCATCTTGATAGGGCGGACAGAGGGAAAATAATGTTGTGGTGGAGCTGGCGGACAGTGAGGAGGTTGTGGAGGAACATGGGCCTGTCCTGGAGTCAGGGGAAGGCTCTGATGAGTGCTCTGCATCGGAGGCACAGATGGGGCAGGGCCATCTGACAGTTATCAGCTGCCTTTGGAGTTGGAGATCAGTGGGGCAGAAGAACAGCTGGGACCTGTTCCTGATGTGCACATGTGCAGAGCTGTCAGGAAAAGGGAACAGTTAAGGAACAAGGGTCAACTTGGGAGTAAAGGCACAGGTGGGTGGTGAATGGCCCCTCCCATAGGGAATAAATAGGAGCGAAAGGGGAGTGGCGTTTGCAGGAGACAATTAGTTCATTTAATTGGTGTGAAGATCTGCTTATCTACATTTGTGACTCCCAGACTCCTTACCAAGTATTTCCTTGTACACCATTGCACTTGGAAGCTATCAGCCTGGCAACTTTCCAAAACTGATAAGGTCTGTGGTTGCAATTCACCCTTGAAAGACTGGATGTGCTGGATGTGAATGATAGGAATTTACATTAGCCAAATAAAAAGTGGTTTTGTCGGGACAAGGAATCTGTTCCGTGATTTTGTAAAACGCCTAGGTCAGAACAAGTAATAGGAAAACAGCTTGTAGTTCTATTAACATGTTTACCTCAGCAGATGGCAGCACTTAGCTCTTTTTGGAAACTAAGCAGCAGCACATCTGTTAATGGTTGGATGAGGGAGCAGGAAGGATTTCAGGGCAGAAAGCAAGACTGAGAAGTCAAAAAGCATTTTCTGGAAGAGGATAATATCAAACCTGTTTTACTACATAAAATTGTCCAACAAGTCTGCATGGATACAATCAGCAGAAGATGGAACTCAACCTGGAGCCTCCTATCTAGGCACAAAATTATATGCTGATATATTGACCAGTTTTCTCAACATTAGCAACATTATGACATGTGGATTTCAACTCACAGAATTCCCCAGTCAACCATGCTGGGGTTCCCCAATCTCCACATTTGAGAACACTGGTATAGACTAAGGATTGAACTGCTGTTTCTTGGAGGAAACAACAATTTCAAAAAATATACGGTCCGAAATAGTCAGCATGAGAGATGCTCGGCCCTTTCTCTAACAACAAATTTTCTATTCCATATAAGACCTTCTTAAGTTGCTTTTCTGTTACCAAGATTGAATTTCAATTTTCCTGTCATAGATGGATATCTAGAACCTGAAAGCAGGAATGATAAAAACACAAAGAGGGAAGATATCAGTCAAGGTAACAATTAAGTGTTAACTTTCTCATTACTTTTCTGCTTGAGGTTTATTTCTGTTAATTTACATAATGTAGAATATAGATAATTTCTATTAATAACATTATGCAGTGACAGCTCAGTTTTTATTGAACCAAACTTCACTGCATGGTAAGCACATTAGAAAAATTGTTACAATAACTTTTCTACAAAATTATATTCTTCTCTTTTCCTTTCCTTGCCAATGTAACCTGCCCTAGCCCTTACTGAAAATATTGAGGTATTAATAATGAAAACACTGGTCTTTTTTCGGTATTCATTTCCTGCTAATTTTACTAAATTGTTATGTTGAAGGGTATTGAAATAGACTGAGAGGAAAGGAAAAATTTATAAGCTTTCACCTGGAAGAGAGCTCCACAAACACATCTTTTCTCTGGGAGCCATTTTATAAGAATTTCTATCTCTTTCAATAAGGAGAATATCTGGAATTTTTACTGACTAAGAAGAGTATGGTTCCAAACAGGCCCACCAGTGGTGGGATTCAAATTTTTTTACTATTGGTTCTATGGGCGTGGCTTGGTGGGCGTGGCAGAGTAAGGATACTGTAAAATCTCCAATGAGGGGCGGTATTTGCCGGTTCTCCAAACTACTCAAAATTTCCGCTATCTGTTCTCCAGAACTGGTCAGAACCTGCTGTATACCACCTCTGGTGCCCACTCATTGAACGCCTACTCTAGTGAATATGGCTGGTCACAAAGCACCCATTTCCCAAACTAGTAAATTGATGGCAACAATACAGGTCAAGCAACCTGCCTAAGAAACTGAATGCAGAGCATATGACAAAGCACATGTTTCTTTTTCTCGCTGAAGAATGCTCTACACACACAACTTTCTTCTTCACTCCATCCCTGGATAATGCATTATTTGCATATAGATCTTACCTAGTTATAGAAGGCAGTGTTTCACTTTGAAGGACTTTACACTATCTGAATTTGGTATTCACAAACAATTTGGTATTCACAAGCAAAGTAAAAGTTTCTGACAATGGAAAACTGCCTGCAAGCAAGCAATAACATCTCAAAAAACAATCAAAGAAAATCCTGGAAAATGTCCAATTTATCATGAGCCACAGTTGAGTCAAAAATAAAACTTTGAGAGCAGCATCAATTTCTGTCTGGAAATGTCTAATTTCTGGTTGCATCAGGACTCATCAAAGGACTCTGAAACAACAATACTTGAAAAATAAATTTGAGCTTGAGCTGATCCTTTGAATCTATCTTCATATGTAAATGTTACTGTTACATAGATTTGGACAAAAGAATTCCTAATATTATACAGAATTTGAAATAAATTTTTTTTAATATTGTTTCTTCTCAATTAAAGGTGAGCACCTAGAATTAAGCAAAATAAATGCATTTGTAAGCAAACATGTCTTTCTTATGGGAAGGATTTTACTAACTAATGGTTCTGATTTGGATTTATTAGGATATTAATTATTATACATGTCTATGCCTATAGAAAAACAATTGTTGATCCTGATGACCCCAGGTGTACCAGGATAACTTTTATTGGAAAGATGGTTACGGTGCCTCCAGAAGAACTAGAATCTGTCAAGCAAGCTCTGTTTTCTAGGTCTGTATGAATCTACTGATATTCTCTGAAGTGTCTAGTGGGAAGATGGGGAGAGAATATAAAATAAGTATTTTGAGTATTATTGGGAAATGTAAGCACTGTCTTCCTGAATACCAGAAAGTCTTGGGAAGAAAATACTTACTAATCAGATTGTATAGGTAGTCCTTAACTTATGACCGCATTTGATCCCAGAATTTCTGTTGCTATACAAGGCAAGTGAGTTGCAGCCAATTTTTTGCCATAGTTAAGAAAATCATTCCAGTTGTTAAATGAATCATCCAATTGTTAAGTGAATCTGACTTCTTCCATTGACTTTGCTTGTTGGAAGCTCTCTGGGAAGGTCTCAAATGGCGATTATGTGACCCCAAATGATACAGCTGTTGTAAACACATGCCAATTGTCAAGTGCCTGAATTTTAATAACATGACGGTGATTCTGTAAAGGTCATAAGTGTGAGGACCACATGATTCAGCATCATTGTAACTTTGAATAATCACTAAACAAATTGTTGTAAGTAAAAGACTATCTGTAATTGAAAGCAAAAATTCATTCCAGCCATTATTAAGCTTTTTAAAATTCCTTTGGTCAAACACTCAGTTCTTCTAAGTCAGTGGTTCCCAACCTTTTTTTCGCCCCGCAGCCCTAAAGAAATTTCACTCGAACCTCGCACCCCCTGAAATAAATAATAAATAAAAATGCCAACATATAGCCAATATCCTATTATTTACCTGGACTTTTCTCACACCCCCTGGAATATTGTCTCGCACCCCCAGGGGGTGCGAGCACCCCAGGTTGGGAACCCCTGTTCTAAGTGATATCACTGTTCACTGAGTAATAACCAAGTTCAGCATGAGGAAATAATAAACAACAAAATAACTACCCAAATTAAATGGATTTTTCTTATTCTGAGATAGCTCAGTTTTAAGAGCATCAAAATTAAACTTATCCAAAGATTGAATTTCCTAGAACCCTGTGATATACATTACTTCTGTTTATTCTATAGTTTCTCTTTGTATGCATCCCATATTATAATAGAATAAGAATATTTGAGTTCCTTCCCTCCATTCTTTCTAAGCCATGACATAACGTATGGATATATAGTTGAATAAAATGAAAAGCAAAAAGGATACATTTTCAAGAGGCATTGTGCAATGATTAGCCAATAGCATTTGACAAATCTTGCAGTTCAAACAATCACTGTTTAAACATTCACTGTTGTATTTTATAAATATAATTAAGTGCTGATAAGTCATAGATGAATCTATAAAATAATGTAAGCCAATCATTTCTAGCTGTTTGGTTGTTCTTACAGGCACCCCATAATGAGAAAATGGCCTCGCAATTATGAATGGTTCTTTATGAAAATGAATATTGAACATATATGGCTACAGGACTGGTATGGAGGAATTACAGTTATTACTTTGGAAGAATATTTCAAAGCAGTTCCTAGTAAAACGTAACTGATTTTTTAAGAATGAGAATTCAGCATTTTCATATTTAATTCAGAACAAAGAGTTTTATATAACTGTGTTATCAGGTATTTATTTAATATTTTTGTGCAAAGTTTTGAATGTGGCTCCATCTTAAATGGAGCAGAATTACTTTTGAACATTAGAAAAAAAGCTGCAGATATTAAACAGTCTGGAGATAGATCATACTAAGTTGTTGCTTAAGATGTTTTGAATACTTTTGGAATTTTATAAATATGAATCTCATAAGATTATTGTAATAATACATTCTAAAACTAGGCAGAAATTGCAAACCTATATGTAATGAGTGGCATAATGAATGATATATTAATGTCCCTAGCTGCTATTAATTAAACATCTAATAACATATTTTATATATGTTGTATTTTAATTAAATTTATATTACAGATTTAATTTTTCCATAGCTACAGATTTAAAAGCTAAGATCTGAAACTTTCCAGAAATGATTAGATAATTCACTTCATTATCTCAGACCAACATACAATATACTAAGAATACAGATGGCAGTTACTGTCCTGCACGTAAATATTAAGCTAATGCATGAAATCCTTACTTCACAGAACTTTCTTGCTTCAGGAAAAAGAGATCTGAAGTTTTTACTTCATTTCCAATATTATATTTTTGCTATTTTTAAGTCTGAACAAGCTCCAGAGAGTATTAACAATAGTGAATTTAAATGTAATGGTTTATTTTTAATTAATGGATTGCTTGATTGATTGATTGTTCAATTTATTGACTTATATCCTTCCACTTTACATTTGTGAGTTCTTAAGGTGACCAATTTTTTTAAAAAATAATAGCATTAGCTATCTGATAATTTAAAACCAGCACTAAAATTTAAGCTGTAATCAATTAAATTATTGATAAAATATGCATCATTAGAAATATAAATTCTGGGAGTAGAGGCCGGGAAATAAACAAAAGGCCATTTCCTGCATGTCAGAAAGATAAGCCATTGGAAATATCTTCAAGAGGACAATTCCTGCTGGTCCCTTTTTATTATGTATGATAATAACAGGACATGTGCAGGGGTGTCAAACTGGTGGCCCGCAGGCCGGATGTGCCACATGCAGGCTACGCCCACCCCATCTCCGTGAAGGGAAAAAACATCACAGTACATCACATGATGGCAACGTGACGCTGCGAGTTTGACACCCATGAATTAGAGAGAAAGGCCCTGAGCTTTTTAGGATTTAAAGGTCAATTGCAACACTTTAAAGCATTGACAACCAATACAGATCTTTCACTAAAGGCATTGTGTGATTTTGGTATCTTGACAGCATTCTAGCAACTACATTTGTATCAGTGCAGTACTAGTTCTATTTTTTTTAAATTTGCAGTTCTATTTTTCCCCCCCAAGAATTGCCCACTATTGTATACTGCACTAGTTGAGATAGGATACAATCAAGGCACAAAACATCATCTCCGATTGTTATGACTCCCCTTCAAAATTCAAGCGAGCAACACAGAAAGCAGCCGTTTCAAAAGTAAATCAAACAAAAAGGAGTCTCACAAGATAACGGCTGCCATAAATCACAGTCCACAGCAACAAGCTTTGCTCTGTTCGGCAAACCAGTCCTGCCAAAAATTCTCAAGCCTCAGAGCGTCGGCTGTAACTTCTCCACGCAATCAGTCACTTTGTTCCTGGCAAATTTTACCAGCCCAGCTGTGTCCTTTTATAGTCATTGAGGCAACAGTTAATTTCCTTAATTACTGGCTCGCCCTCCTCCTTCGTTCCAGCTGAGTTTGCCTCCTCAAACATCGTCTGTTCCTGACGTTTAACCATAAGTCTTCCAAGTTCTCATCTCCACTCAAAGACTCTCTCAAAACTTCCCTGTCAGCCATTCCCGGCTGATGATCAGATAAGGAACCAGAGGAGGTCAAAGGTCCTGACAATTCCAATACTTCAGGTCTGTCTTCCTTTGTCACATCCATCTCCTCATCCTGATTACTATTCCCATCACTGAGCAATGCCGGCTCACATTGCCCTGCCATGTCCTCCTCACTTGAACTCAGATCTTCCACAGGAGCTGAATCCAAGCCCGGAACCACAACATCCGATCCTAGTGGCTCATGAATTGTCATGGCTGGCATAACAGGTGTATCATTGTGTAAAAGCACTCCTCACTGTGGCAGGTTTTAATCAAATGCCTACAAACTTAAGACAGCTAAAACTGAGCAAGTCTGCCCACATTACAAATCTAGTCTCTTGAGGAAGTGTAGCCCTGTCATTTGGACACAATGAGATACTCCAATTAATTAAAAAGAGAAGCATAAGCTTTGTCATTGAATTCCTAGAGACCTGACTAGAGAAGGGGTCTAAGGTCAGCCTAAGACTCACTTATATATTAAATGTGGCAACTTCAACCCAGCCAAGTTGAAAATATTACTAGTCTACAATAATGCATTTGTCCTTTTTATGCTGATATTTTAAAATGCCAAAAAACACTTTTTAAAAGTTAAGGGATAATTTGTTTTATTTCGGGACAAGTTAATGTACAACAGACTAGACATTCTTAAATAACTTCTGTAATATAATTTATAATGCCTGCATCACCTGATATATGGGATTGATTTTGGAGCCAGGCCAATTTCAAATGTGCATCTTTCTCATACACCTCCCAATATTGTGATTTATTACGTTTGTATCACCTTTTCTTACTGTAACATTATGTTCATGATGATCAGAACTGACAACTGATAGGCAATAATGGTTGTTACATCTAGAAATGCTCTTAATTATATTTTAGCCATTTTATTTTGCTTATATCCAAAAAAAGGTCAGTGGAAACTTGTACATTTCTTACCCCCATAGTAAATTTCAGGTGGCTTTCCTGTACTGGAATTATTATTTTAAGAAGCCATATGGCAAGCAAAAGATGGATCAATAAATTTTATTCTTATTTATGAAGAAGAGTAAAATATTGTAATGTGCATGCACTCGCTGTTCAGAGTAAAGCAGAATGACATGTGTTGGCTTGATTGTGCTTCACTAGTACTGTGTATTGAAAGTAATACATTTCTGTGCCTTTGGTGTGATACGTATTTTTAGAGTGATGAACAAAGGACATCATCAAATTGATCTTTAAAATTCTATTTAGACCCATCATACGAACCACTAGAACATTCAAAAACGATCTAGCATGATCATGCATTAAATAAGTGATTTACAATCAAAAAGTGAGAATACTTCTTTTGGAAGAGCACATAAATCTTTTAACATGGCATAAGATTGCGTTTGTCCAGTATTTTATATACAGCATAATACAACAGATCTCTAACAATGATATAATTACTGCAAAATAGCGCAGTATTAATTTATGCCCCAGATTTAGTGCAACTTGACTATTCTGAGTTGTCTTCATATTTTGTAAAAATGTCCTGGTATCTCACACAAATATGGCTTTCATAGTGCCAAGATAAAAACAACCTACATGCCTTCAATTACCTATTAGAAGTAATGCCATTTGCATATGAGCAACAAAGGATTGGTGTAGCTTGTTGGCAGCAAAGTAGGTCATGCCTGGAAGTATTTTGGGAGGCATTTTAATAGTTTTGAAAAGAGAAATAGGGGCCTTAAGCATCTGTAATGTGTGAAGAATCTATTTTGCTTCCCACAAAAGTTTGGGTCCTTTCTACTTTGCAAGCTTTAGGAAACATAAAAGGGCTGCGAAAAGTAGGAGGCTCTGCAAATTTTACTCTACTAGTCATTACTCATCTCCGTTTCAAGGCCATTGAACCTGCATTATCCAAATACATTTCTGCGGTCATGTGGCCAGCATAATGTCATGGAGCATTGAACCATTGAAGTGGTACCTGTTTATCTACTTGCATTTGTATGCTTTCGCACTGCTAGGTTGGCAGGAGCTGGGGAGAGGACAGGAGCTCACTGTTGCGTGAAGCTCGTGTCTCAAACCTGATTGCCACCTTTCCAACTGACAAGCCCAGTGTCTTAATCTCTGAGCCACCACGCTACCTGCTAATGAACTGTTATGTTTATTTATTTATTTATAAATAATTTATTTATTTATTTACTCATTTATTTTATCTATCAAATTTATAGATTTAGTTACTGCCCATTTCTCAGAGCTCTTCTTTTTGGACCAGTGGTGGAGGCATTTCCCCCACTTAAATGAAGGGATGCATACATCCTCATACAGCTTTCCACCTTAAAGAGGTTCACATTTTTTACTTATAATCTCTATTAAAATACAGAAGTCAGAATATCTACTAAATTCCTCAGTGAGGTTTTCTTCAACTAAGCATTTCCCTAGTTGTGATTTAGGGATCCCATAAAGATGAAATGTGTAAAATTTTCTATATAGATCTTAATCTTGTTGATTTTGATTGCCAACTTTAAATCATTATGTATTCATAAAAAGGGGTTGTCAGGACCAGAATCTGTGACTTAACATGGACACTATTTTAATATACTTATGTTATCTGTGATATTAATATTTCAAAAGTCTAGCAGGCATGAAGCTCTCTTTCTAACAAAACAGCTCCATGATAATTACCATATTTATATCTGCTATGTCCTTGGTGAAAAATCATTTAAAAATATAATTTCAACTGCATACAATTACACTGTCAGTAATATAGTACTTGTGGAAGAACTAAGCATTGTTTTATCTGCTATTTAACCAAAGAATGTATTTCAAAAATATTTTCGTTATTTTTGCCCTACTTATCCATTTGCACTTATGACATGATCATTGTAATGCATTGTCAAACATTAAATGTTAATAAAATCAAATATTAATAAAGTACTAATGACAATAACAATTATTTTATTAATAAAATATATTATTGCCTGATGTAATGTATGAACTCAGCCATTTATCTTTAAGTCCAATCATTTTTTTTCCAATAGTACAGTATGTAACCACATTGGCTCGGAAATCAGAGAATTGTAATACTAATTCAAGATCATTGAAAAATAAAAGTTAAGATTAAGTGCCAGAAGCAAACATACATGTAAAAACAAG